GGAGTCCTCTCTGGGGAGGAAGGAGCGGCAGAAACAACGTATGATGAACTGACCTGCAACTCCCATTCCCCGTCTCCCTGTGCCACTTGCAGGGGAAGAAGGGAGAGAATTCAAGAGTAAAGTTAAGCCCCTGAAGAAGGGAGGGGTGGGGGGAAGGCATTCTAAGATTTAGGTCTTACTTCTCATTACACTACTCTGATTTGATTGGCAATAAATTAAACTAATTTCCTCAAGTCCAGTCTGTTTTACCTGTGACGGTAATTGCTGAGTGATCTCTCCTGTCCTTATCTCCACCCACGAGCCTTTCACTTGATTTTCTCTCCCCTGTCCAGCTGAGGAGGGGGAGTGATAGAGCAGTTTTGCTGGGCATCTAGCATCCAGCCAGGGTCAACCCACCACAATTTTTCAAACAAACTAAGGCAGAGGACTGGTCTAAAGCAGTCTGCAAACACATAGCCAAAGTCTGAATCACAGCATATGTAACCTAAAGGTACTAAGAAGTTGCACGCTCAACCTTCTTACTATTACTTCCTAACCTTTATTTCGCACAACTTGAGTTTGTAAACCTAATAATATCCTTTTAATAGCATTTTGTGGTGGCAAATATTTGTGGTGGCAAATTCAACACACAAACTGAAAAATAAAAATTCCACTGGATGGTATGCTACTGCCATTCACCTCTGCTACTTGAGCCAACTAAGTACTCTCAGCAGTGGTATGTTGTTATCTTCTTTATGAACCACTGCTAGAAGAGGCCATCTACCAGCAGGCTATGATGTTATTTTCTGCTTCTGACTCTAATTCTGCCTTGAGCTACACTGCAGGCAAAGAAGGACACAGGCTGTAACACTCCTTGTACTTTCTTTCTTTTGCCCTTGCACAAGGGTTTTCCCATCACCTTACAAAAGCAGTTCCCTTTTCTGACTCCAGGTTGTGTTTTATCCTATCTCAGTCTTCCTCCCAACCCACTGCTACCACATTGTTTCCCTCCCTGACTTCCTTCCTGGCTGGTTTTGTCCTCCGATGGTTTACCCCATGTCTGGAGCACAGACCCTGGCGGTACTTCATCAGTCGGTTCAACTATCCCAGCTCCTACTCTAGAACTCCAACCTCTTCTGTAATGGATTTTCACTACTTGCCTCTCTCGCTTAGCCCAGCCACTTGCTCCTCCAGCTGAATATCTTTAAAGTAAACATCTTTTTACTCCATACTCCATGCTGCACAGCAAAGTAAGGACTGAAAGCTGAAAAACGAGCACCTTCCCGCTTTATTTCTGTTTGCCTGCCCTAGTACAATCTACTGGGGACAGTAGCTCAACATCATTGCTGGACCTTGACCAGGGAGAGTTGAGTCTTTAAGCAACTCAGATGTAAGGCTTGACATATATTAATGGCAGCTTCTAATAATTTGGTCAAGTTTTCTCATTATTTTCATAAAAAATGCCCAGAAACATGTAACTGAAATACTGCTCAATTCACTACTAGAAGTATGGGAATATTACAGCTTCTGATAAAAAAGGTTTTGAGAATGGCTTGACATAGGCAAAATTAATTTTTGCCCTAACTTCATTGTTAGAATGACCTAGTTGCTTCAACTAATATTTCCCAAGATAACTCAAAATTATTTTATAAATTGGTTAATTTTTAGAACAATTATAAGCAACTGAAAACCTGATATGTAGCAGGGAATCTTAGGTAATAATAATAGGTCTGTTACAAAACTAGAGGCATATCTATCTATCCACATATTTACATATATATATAATCAGAGTCATCTTTTGTGTGTCTCCAACTAAGGTTCTCTCAGAGCTTCAATTTAAACACCTCTATCAAAAAAATACCTTGACCCAAAGAAAAGACGTTCATGTTCTTAAGTGTAAGGTTCTCCATGAGATCAAGGTGTTCATGATTGGACTGCATTTATTTTTTATATTTTTTCTTGTATAAATTTTTGTGATAGCTGTTTTACATATATGAAAATATTTTAGCAAGAGGAATAGATGATATGCTTTTTACTTCTGCATATATTTGTGCAGTATTGCACAAAATTGCGCATGCTTTAATGTTCAAGTTGGGAAATTAATCACCATAGTTCTGTTTGTGTCACGACTGGGTGACCTCCATCTTTATTACCAACTTTCAGTTCTATTCAAAACAAGTGACACTTCATATTTTCATTAGAATATTGAACAGACTTTGTCAACAACTGAAATTCACATAGAAGACTCATAGAATCATAGAATGGTTAGGGTTGGAAGGGACCTCAAAGATCATCTAGTTCCAACCCCCCTGCCATGGGCAGGGAAACCCTCGACTACACCAGGGTGCCCAAAGCCTCCTCCAACCTGGCCTTGAACACTTCCAGGGATGGGGCATCTACAACTTCTCTGGGCAACCCGTTCCAGTACCTCACCACCCTCACAGTGAAAAATTTCTTCCTTATATCTAATCTAAATCTGCCCTCTTTCAATTTGAAGAATATTTTGTGCGTAAAAATATTCATTATGTTGTTACAGTACAGTGCATTTTGATATTTGAAAACACAAAATAAGACGTACTTGGAAGCTATCAGATTACTTGCAAGTAAAGATTCACAGCCTCCTCAAAGCTGAAAGCAAGGGTTTTCAGATGTAAATTTTCAAGAAAGAGAAGTCAAACTTTTTAAGGCAGAGAAGCTCATTTTAAGATGGACAGCCATATTAGGCAAATATAAATTCTCAGTCAAAGCACAGGCATACTCAGAAATTTTGTTATAAAATTGATAAATAACCCATTTAGTAGGATGAATAAGACTTTTTTCGTGTTCCACAAAACTTAGAAGATTTCAAGATACAATGCTGTGTTAGGGGAAACCAAACACTCTCAAAGGCAACTAAGAGAAATCTGCAGCCCTGTAAAGACAGAAACCTGGCTGAAACATTCACCTGAGATCTACGACATTCGAGTTCGTGTTCCTCCTTTTTTCCATTTGAGCAGGGACTTGAACTTGGGTGTTCCATATCTCAGCTGAGTGCCCTAACACGAGTAGGTAGACTCCTGGTAGGATTCATGTTGGCTACCTCCAGGTATCCCTACACAGGGAACAAGCCAACTGTGGCAGCAGAGCCTCAGATATAGTACACCTCGTGCTAGAGTAAAGGCTGAAGTCAGTCCCCATGAGCTGAGACCCCAAAGTAACCAACTTTTCCTGTTACTCTAAAGACACCTTGGGATGACAAACTCCAGCATAGCCACCTACCTGTACTGTAGATGGTGACATTTAGTTACTTCTTCCCAACTAAGCTTGTTTTTCTTTCTGGCTTATAAATGTTTAATTACTTATACAATTGGACAATCTTCTGTACAAAAAGTCTCACGTAAGATGACAGATATGCCCGCTATGAAGCTAACTACATAGTTTTTTAAAAACGTCTCTCCTTTTCCTTCCTCCATTCTTTGTACCTACCTCAGCATTAGCTTAAACTGATATAAAAATCAGAAAACATGTCCTTTAATATTTTTTTCAGGTCTAATATCAGTAGTTACAACTACTAGTAATCTTACCAAAGATTATGCATAATATCAATAATATCCACATAATTTCAGGTATTTTGAAACCGCCACTTCCATTTAACCAGAAGAACATCTCTTCAGATTTTATTTACCTTATGGATGGCTACTTCTCCCCACTGAGGCAAACAGCAAAACGTGAAAACTGAACATAAGCAGGATAAATCAAAATCACCACTATAAAAAGTTTATTTGGTAGTGATTTTAAAATGATTTCTAGTGCCAGGATTCCTGAATTCTGGGAACTGTGATTTTGTCATAGCAGAGAGAAGGCTATTTTTAGCTTACAGAAAGGAACTAAGAGTATCATACTTTACAGTCAGTTTGAAGATAGCATCATTATAGGTACTTACCTAAGCTTGATCTTGTGTTAGATCGCTCTATTATCGCATGCTTACTGGGGTTGTTTAATACTGAGCGTTTGGCAAGCGAGATGTCTGCTGTGACTCGTGTAATTGATATACTGCAAAAATAAAATACAATAAAATAGAACAGAATGTTATTGATGTTGCAGGGATGTGGGGAGAAAAAGAGACTTTGTGGAACACTAGAAGATGGCTAGGACTATAGGAAAAAAGTTCTCGGCAGCACAGCATGCTTTGCACAATGTGAACAGACAAGAAACTTTATCTAATACCGTTACAAGAACTATTGATAAGATGTCCTCCTTTCTGCACAGTACCGAAATGCAGTACAACCACTGACTGCAAAGCTAAACGTGCTTGGGGAATAAGGAGGCAGAAGCGGGTCAGAGACGTACTGCAGAAGATGGGACTTCCCTAGAGGCTCCAGGCCTGATGTGCTTAGAATTTGCACCAGTATCCCTGCTATGAGTAGGATGGTTTCCCTTTTCCCTAATTTTGATTAATTTGTTGAAAGGTACTGAATGACAATCTGACTTACTTTAATCATATGTATAAGACATACAAGGATATGCAGAGTTAACAGGTAAAGGTAAGGCTTAGCAGGGAAACTAGTACAGCCATGTAACACTTATATTTATTGCTCAGTTTACTAGCTTATATTTTTTAACAGAGTGCAAACCTATAGTTTTCCAGAAAGATACAGCTGGCCACCTAAAAATGGGGACTGCAACACAGAGAAGCATGCAAATGAAAACTCTGGGCTGAGTATCTGACAGGCTCAGTTTTGTGTTTATGAGAAGAGATGAGCTGAGAAAGAAGTGGTTACTTCCAGTAGTTTGCACTGACCTGCTACATAACCTTCTGCATATTCTTCTTCCCAGGAAAACAGTTAACTTGGTTTGTTTTGCTTTATAGGGTCAAAATGCACCCCTTGGATAAATTCCCTTTCAAACTCTCTGGTCTAATGAGGTTTAGGGGTCACATTTTTCCAGTGCTGAGAGTTAAATCAGACTGATGATATTCTCTTATTCTTCCTTGTATGATTTTATTCGCAATTTAAAAGGAGGAAATGGATTTGCTAAGAACAGCGAGGGCTCCTCTCTAGCAAGCACAGTCAGATGCTGTTCATCTGAAATGTAACCAAATAGGTCATTTCCCAATGAGCTCAACATGTGTATATATTTATCTAAAACCCTATAAAATGTAACAAAGCCAGAAGTTAATACAGAAAAACAGAATTATTTGCACAATACTGATTAGTAACATCATTTTTTAAATTTAGGCATGATTTAACTTAAGCTAAAAACATAACCAAAGATTGTGATTTCTGGCACAGCTCCTCACAGATAATGCTATTAGTCTTAAAATGAAATCCAACATGCAATTTGGAGTTATCTTAGTTATCTTTACTTGCTAATTGATGAACATTACAAACTTTCACAGCTTTCTATTGTTTGTTTTGTTTAGATTTTGGTGGGGTTTTTTTTCCTTCCCTGGCAGTCTTCCTTTCTACATGCGATAGAAAATAATTTTTCCCTTTTTCAAATGCAATTATGGTGTATTGAACAATACTAGATTTATCAGTTCAAATATGCTATTTTTCATTTTAAGACCTTTTAATGTCTTTTTAAGGTCATTTTAACGTCTTTTGAGACACATAACAAGGAAGAGGAAGAACAAATCTGCTCTGAAAATAAAGGGTATGTATGTTCATATAGCAAAACAATTGCAATGAGAGTGGAGACAGCTTGACAGCAGAGTGGCAGTGGTAGCACTAGCATGAATCTAAGAACCCCCTGTACAAATTTGTTGAAGACCTTGAGTACCAATTCAGATTGCTACTGAAGTCTGGGATGCTTCAAATCTGCTATTATACACATCAATTGTATTGAGAGCATTTGTGGATTCACCCTGCCACAATTGGATCTACAACTGAAAATTAGGTATGCTCTAAAATACTTTAAGACATAAAGACGCGACAACTTTTTTTCTGCTTGCAACACTCACTATTTTGTTAACTTCCAATTCTGAAGGTACATACCTAAGATTTGACAGCTCTGACTAGAGGGACTACTATGTGGTTAGGTCTCAACATCATCATTCTGACTGAGAAAATCCAAAAGCTTAAACCACGATGTCCGGTATTTTAAAGAGCTGAAGCTATTTACAGAAAACCTCAAGCTTCCTCTTGAAAGCTTGACAGCACCAGGACAGATAGAATACAGTTACTTCTCCGCCCACTTCCAAACTAAACAGAACACTAAGTTAGAGATATTATAACAAGACCTTCCCATTTTCTCAACTTTTCCCCTCCAATGTCAACCCACTAGCACATGTTAATCTGGGGTCTGATCCAGTAGCAATATACTTATATGTGGAAAATCCACCTCATGTCTCTGGTCCATGGGTCTGTGATGTTTGAATTACAGAACATGCTACTGCTTTTAGAGATGGATTATTGTTTGACATTTGTACTACAGTAATGCCTGGAGGCTCAAACACAAATCAGACTGGACCCTGTCGACAGGCTGTGGGCGACAGACTGTAACAGCACACAGATCAAAACCCAGTGAAGTGCAGCCTGTCTGCTACCAAGGGTGACTACACTTCCCGTTATAGAGTCCAGCACTACCGTCAAACCTAGCTCTCAGCTTGAGGGACCAAGAGTTTGACAATCATATACATTAGGCAGGCTCAATCTCGTATCATTCTTTCCAAGTTAGATGCCACTGCAAGCAACTAGAGCTGAGGTGGAATGGTCGCCCTCATCAGCTTGTACAGAACCCAGGAAGCATTGATGAGATATCACTTAAAAATACTTAAACAAAAGATTTTTTTAATGTTATTCATTTATTAAATCTGTAGACAAATGTCTAGCAATCTGGAGAATGAATGTCAGTCATGAACAAGAAGACATCCTTTTCTCCACTCTCAACAAATATACTCTCTTAAATGCTTCCCACTGCAGTGTAGCCTCAGTGTGCTTTGCTAAGGAACCACTATAGCCCACTGAACAAGGGATTAGCTGCCACTCCTAATTTTCTACAAATATTTTCCCAAGAATGTCATTATTTCTTAAAAACCTGACAGTACCTAAACAGGACCTGAACTCAAGTAGATTTGCATTGCAAAGTACTTACCGCCCTTCGAATCTGTGTTTTAGAAAATCAAATAATGCTTTTTGCATCATATCTGTCACCTAGAAGCAAACAAACAACAAATTAATAATCACATAAGAAACTAGTAATACTTGATGCTAATAATAATATGTAATAAAGTTGATAATAAATCTTAAATCTGAACAATAAGATTGGAATGTAATTTATTCTTAATCTGAATTCCGACATGAAATAAAATACATGTAAGAGCTATCTAGTAGAAGCAAAAACTGTCTTGATTTTTGTCTATGAAAAAAATTACGTTATTCAGCTTAACTACCTTTGACCATTCAAATACAAATGAAGTACAATATTTTGAGCAAAATAAAACCATTCATAACAATCACTTACCTCGTATCCCTTCAGAGAAGGCCCCACTAAAACTACTGGTCGCATAGAAGGCACTACATCATAGGGAGGGATGTGCTCTGTCTGCAAAAGAGAAAAAGCTTTCAGCATCACAGCCCCTAGAGAAAGCATTACACATTACTTACAATATTAGGAACTCTGAATTTTCAGTGATGTCACCAACATAGGAATCATGGATTCATTAATTTTTCCTGAAAACCGGTAGTACAAGACAAGGCCATAATAGGTTCAGGGGTTCCTTTTGGAAAAAGCTTTTCTTTGACTTTTGGTTTTCTTATTGTTTTTGTATTTGCTCTGAACAGCTACAAAACTGTTATTCTGGAGACATTCACATGTCCCACTCCACAACTCCTAACTGGTTAATTGTAAACTTTATTTCCAATAGCTAATGATTTGAAATAATTGATTCTAGAGCTGTGACACCTGTTTCCCACCAAATTTTAAATAGGCAAATTATGACGGAGAAAAATAAAACAAGAAGGGAGGGAAAAGCATAACACATCTCTTTTTATGTTCAGATCTGCCTACAGCTTGACAAACATTGTGACACCACTGCAAATTCCCATGGGAGCACTCATAGTCTGACTTCCACATTTGCATCTGCAATTCACTTGCAAATGAAATCAAAATAATGATCGAACAAGTTATTATTTACAGATAATTTTGATAAACAGAGCTTGGGATAGCAGCCCTTCCAGTTTGGGAAGTTCCTGTCACCACCCAAGAATGGATTACATATTCACCAAACTACTTACTGATGTATCGTGTACAATTAAAAAAAAGCATTTTAAAACACAAAGATACAACTGCCTGCTTCCAAAGATTGTAAAATTTTTATATTGCTATTGAAATCACATTTAAACAAATTAAACTGTGGTTTTTTTGTTTGTTTGTTTGTTTTAAATAAATGGCTATTTGACATATCACCAAGAATGAATCTTATCAGAAACAGTTTTTTGTTTGTAAGAGAGGGTTTGGTTTATCTTTGTCTTGAGGAAAAAATGATTGAAATCCAAACCCAGGAACGTGTGGTTGATACGGAAAAAAGTATGCCAGATCTATTTTTCAAATGTCTACATAGTACAAATACATCAGTCAAAATCACAGAATACAGTCATTGTTCGTTGTTTCAGTACTCAGTGTATCCCAAGGTGTTTCACAACAACATTGAAATAAGTATATACATTCCGAAATACAAGAACACAAAGACAGACATTAATACAGTGACAGAACAAAATGCTACACAAGCAGCAGTCTAAAGCAGTCTAAAACAGGGAAAACATTTTTGTGAATGTTTTTCAGCATAATTTATCTTATTTTTTGTTACCTGTAGCTTCACCAGATAATTAGTAACATAAGAATAAATACCAGTGCCCAAGGCATCATAAGCATGTGAAACGAATTTCTTTTACACAGTGCAGAACCTGACTCAACACTTTTCAAAGCAAAATCCTGCAATTGTGCTGTGCCAGTATCAAAATGCAGCCCTCCACTGTTCTGGCTAATATTAATAATCTGATAAGAGTATTAGAGACAGATCCTAAGAAAAATTCATTACAGATGTGTAAGTGCTTACAGCACACGTGTTCTGATGCAAAAGATCTTTGTCTTCATGTGGCTGACTCAACTGAAGGCATTCATGCTATAAGTTAACCAGTTATTTGAAAATTAGGGAAAGCACAGAAATTACCTTATTTGATGGAATATGGGGTATTTTTAAAATCTGTTCTATCAAAGAGGTGTTTTTTTTTTCCTCTAATCTTTGCAGCTTGAAGTAATGAAGCTGTCAGTAGAAAACTGAGTAGAAGTTATTTAATGGAAGCACTAAAGTTCTTTAAATTAGCATTAGAGCATCTAGATTTTTCTAAGGGACTGGCACTGACCTATACAGCTTTCAATTGCAGATTCAAGTTCAAATATGAACTCAGAATAAAAACTAACATAGTTTTTACCATATGGCTTTTGCTCAGCGGTTTGACTATGGATGATTAGTTTGGGATGCCCAACCAGTGTTTGCTGTAAATGTCAGTATTACAAAACCTACTATAACCATTAGTGATTCTGATATGGAAGAAAAGAGGCACCACAGAATGAAGAGAGCATTCATACTTGATTATAAATACGATTAAATAAGAAATTACTCAGAAGCAAGAAACTGCTGTTGATTTCCTTAGCAGGTTGTGAATGACAAGGTACTTAGCAGACCCTACTAAAGCAAATACTGGTGACTTTGGAAATGAGAAGGATCCAATGTTATTTAAGAGTTCAAGAAGAGAGAGAGAAAAAAAGTTTTCTTTACTAAACATGATAGCATCCATGGGACCGGCAACAGTGTTGCTCGGCACTGTTTATAAGCACTGTAACAGTCTGTTGTTACCTGTAGACGTGAGTGGTTAAAAAGAAATAAATAAGAGCTATGGAGACTAAAGATTTAAAACCAAAAAAGTAGAAATGTGGTATTTCACTTCATAGTTTGGCTGCTACTTAATGTCTTGCTAACTTTTGCCAGCAAAGATCCTAGAAACATACTGCAGTTTGCTGTAACAGGATGCCAGTTGCATAATTCTGTAGTTATCTGGGTTATCTATGGAGAGACATTGGCTCTCCCGGGAACCAAGAGTACCATTTCCAATAGCAGAGATACTAAAAAAGTCTGACTGATGGATGGCAGGAACATTTGGCTGATAATTTATACATGACAACAGGAAAAACTCAAAGTAAACTGTCTGTGGTTTTCCACTGGTCTTGCTCACCTGCAATTTTGCACCTAGTGAATTAGAAGTTTAAATACTAGCTAAATTAAAAATACAATGGTTTTGACTATTTGTTTTCTAAGTACCTTCTAAGTATCTGATTAGATTCCAATAATTATTTCAATAGATTGAGCTATAAGGGAAAAATAAATTTGAGAAAGATAGAGATAGAAAGAGTAAGCATGCACTAGAGATGTGCATTATATGGATTTGTTAGAAATAAATTTCTCCAACTTTTAGAATGTCTTCTAAGTGTGTCCTATTATTCCATCAAAAAGGATAACACTGTAGCAGAGTTTCATGGACTCACTGAACTTGAGACTGTTTGTTTTCATGTACTGGGTCCGCTAACAGCTCAATACATTTCTTCCTTAATTCTAGAACAGCTGCATTGTTAATCTGGGGTAATAATGCTAATGATGCCAGTGGCAGGATAAACACAGGTAATGTCGATATAAACTTACCGATTTCTGCTTCTGCTTAGCTACAGCAGCATGGAAAAGAAACAAAGAACAACAAGGCATGCATGTTATTGGCCTGTCAAAGGACGCAGACAGTTAACAGGACTAGAAATGTGACGCAGTGCAGGTGAGCAGGTGGACAGATGGGAGCTTGGAAGTCGGTGTTACCTTCTTAAAGAAGGGCATTCTTTTCTCTTTGGAGTGGGGTGATGTTACACTGTTTGCACTGGGTTTAGGGGAGCGATGGTTTGCTGGAATATCATTTTCTTCTGCATCTAAGCCAGTGGCATCTATGTCTATAGCTATATACAGACAAACAATTCAGAATTATCAGATGACAGGGAAAGTAAGGTAGGCTAAAAAGGAAGTAACAGGTAGAGAAAAATAAAATTGTCCAGAGTAATAAATAAATAAATAAAAATTAAAAAATCAACTGAGTACAAAACACAATAAAACAAAGGGAAAAATTTAAAGGTGCAGTACGTTAGGATTAGAAGACAGAAGGCAATCTGTAACAGCTACTACAAGATTTTCCTCTGATTCCCTTTTACACAGACACATATAGAATTACTTTTACAAAACAGAGTAATGGCTAAGTTCGTTCTCATTACACCAGTGCAAATCCAAACTAGTTCACTGGACCAGATAACACTTTCACCAATGTCAACAACAGAACTTGGCCAACAACATTTGAATTATCTTAGAGCAATGAACACTAATTCAAAATCAGTATAATTAACTGAAATTTGAAATGTCATTAGTGTGTCTATAGGAAATTAAGAAACAGAAAAAAAATCACTTCTGAAGACAAAATCAGCCTGATACTGGTACAGTAATATCTACATTTAGCTCAGGGTGGACTACAATTGGCATTTTTAACCACTTTAACTAAAAATGCACAGTAGTCATGAGACACATTTATTAGAAATAATAAAACCAGACCTATTAATAGCGAAAACTAAAGAGAATAGATAGCAGAAGAGAGGAAATTGATCCCAGCTTGTCTTAGACGTGGATCCTGTTGTAAAGAGTGAGGATGTAGGCAGGGCAAAGTGAAAGTGAATACAATAAACCACTGCTGTTTAGCCTCTACCCCAAAAGACTATACAGCACACAATGCTTATACCATAAATATAAAATATTTATGTTCTTTAGCAAGTAAGTAACAACAGTTTAAGCAAAAATCGTCATGAAGTCAGAAATAAACACATTTTCAAAATGCAAATCCATGTTATCCTGAATGCTGAGTCCAACAGATACCTCCTAACTACATCCAAAACCAAACCAAACAAACAAAAAAAAGCTTTCTTGTTTATGATGCCCAATCCTGATCTTAAGTAATGTATTAAATTTGTCTTCAGAAAGTAAGTACATACACAAAAGCGATCCACAAACACACCGTTCCACATCACCCTTGTGTGTAAAGATCTTACCCACTTCTTGACACACACTGGTAACACATGCCTATCTTGCCATGCCATTATGTCAAACTGAATCTGTAAGCAGTACCATTTGCATTGACTTTATCCAAACCCATAATTAATCATTGCAAACTATTACGAAACCACCTTAGGGATCTGCTTTCAGCTGCTTGATGAGCAGGACATCAACTAATACAGCATCATGTGCTATTAAATTATGCAACAAATAAATATTTCTGTCAAGCCTACGTGCAGCTACTGATTTAAGAGACACTCGTGCTAGTCATCTCTTCTGTTTGAGTAAAGTATATTTTCCCATTTGAATGATCCACAGATCTAATGCCAAGATGCTTGACAATCCTTGAGTTACAGAACTGTGTCTTTGAGCCTGCCCTTGCCAGGAAAGCCTGTGAGTAGATCCACACCCTGTTTCTATATTCCTGCTCCTAAAAACTTTCACAGAAATCACGTAACTTTTTCTTCTAGCAACACTGTTCCTTCATCCTCTTCATAAGTATAAAAAGAACATATCATCTTTTCTTGAATACAGGCCAGCACAGATGCTATAAATCACTCATAATAAGCATATTAAAACTCCTTCTGTTCTAAATTGTTCAACTAAAATTGTCAGCAAAGAAAAATCAAGGTTATTAGGTTTTTCCAGTAAAAAAGAAACTCAGCATTTGAATAGCTAGATATCAGTATCTCCTTTTTTCATTCTCAGTCTTCACACTATGTAACATCTTCTGTGCTCGTTCTTTTACTGTTAATTATCTTTAGCTCACTGGTGTTTTTTTTTTTCAGTCATTTTCACCATTATCCTCATCCTGCTCAGTGGTCCTTGAGAACCCGTATGGGTTGATTATTATATCAATATAATATTGATTATTTTAATGGCTATGAGCCTCCTTTTCATTTGCTTTTTACTGGTCTTCATCTTGTTTAGGTTTTTTTGTTTTGTTTTTGTGGCACTGGTTTATATTGGAAAAAAATTCCCCGACTCAAAGTCAAAAAATGAAGTTAACATATTCAGTTACAATCTCTTCAACTCATTAAATAACTTCTGTATTTGTCATTTATTTATACTGTCAAAAAGAGGAGGCCTGGAAATAATAACGGAACTGTACTTCAAAGTCACTTGAGTTCTTGTGTTAGTCACAAACTATGCCTCTTTCACACTTCTTGGGATGTCTTAACATAAGCAAAAAACAATACTGCACACCCAAAATCTTAAGATGACAGAATAAGCTAATATGCACTATTCATCAATATTCTCCAAATCTTCAATGTAACTAAATAAATTTAACTAGATTTTCTCCTTTCCCCAGAAAAACAGGTTTCTGAAAACTGCTGTCTGAAGGAACGATTCAATGCAATGAAAATTACAGCATTACTAGCAATCAGTCAGTCGGTAACCAAAGTATGCTGCCCATTTTCTTACCTCTAAATTCTGTGCAACGTTCTGAAAATTTCATATATTCTGCTGTCCAAGTGTTTTTAGGATATAAAAAAATATCACAGCATTTCAGACGCTATAACTATAAAATTACAACATAGGTCCATGGATGCTTTCTACTGCAAAAATGCAGTCGTTGCAAAAGTGGGCCTTAATGGTAAATATGACAGTTTAAAGCCAGTGTAAAATGAAAGATTAAGGTGTGTTCCACAAACTTGTGATAGTCAGTAAAGTAAAAATATCTTTTCGAAAAAAAAATTGAGGTAGGTAACTTAAGTGGAATTTTGGTAAACAAACTGCAATTGTAATAAAGTTGGTTGTTAGAAACAAATTCATGGTTTCACAAGACAGACAGATATATTTTTCAATTAATTTAATCAAATGAAGCTACTACCATAACTTGATCGATTTCCTCTGTCTCTCTCTTAATGTCCATGTAAATGCTTTATAATCTTCAGGATCATTTTAAGATGCCTGCTCTGTAGACCAGGCTCCATATAAACCAATATGATTGAAAAACACACTTTGCTTCAGTAGAAAAAGCATTAGCAACATTCATGAATATTTTCTCATTTGAGGTATTCAAAATGTATGTTTTCTCTCTCAAAAGAAGATAAAACATCTAGCAATGTAGCAGCTGAATTTAGTAGGTTTTTTTGGTAATCTACTGCTATGATTTTCAAAAGGAGCTAATGCCAGTTTCCTCCACCAACTCACCATGTATTTGCTTCATACCTCTTGAATCCAACCTAACTAAAGTTAAATCTGTCTGTTGATGCTCGAAATACAAGACAGTATTTGTGAAAATTTTGTCACAAAAGGCAAAAAATATCCAGTGTGATAGGATTATGTAAAGCAGATCCTCATTGTCAGAATTGTGAAACTATAAGTGCCTGTTATTATAAAATTATGCTGTTCTTGATGTTACTGCAGAAACCTCGTGGGAATTTTTATTCTTATTGCTGCTTCT